TTGAAATTAAAAAATAAATATTTTTATGTTTACAATGCATAGAAATTAATATTAAATTAGGTACTACATTTTCTCTGAAACATTACGTAAACTTCTTAAATGTACTAACCATTCATTGGTGTAATGTGTAAACGCACACACCACCCATGACAAAATTAATTGTGTAAACGTACACACCATATACTTCGAGTCCGTCGGCGGAAGCGCGTCTTGAAATAGCCGGTTCATCTTGCAAGTGATTTCGCTTAGTGTTATTGACCCTGCTTTGCCGCGACAGTGTCCGTCTGTTTGCACACGTGAAATACGGTCAAGAGGCAGCGATTATTACGTCGCCTTACGCATATTGCAATTCGCACTGCGAATCGACGTGTGAGAAAAATCTTATATTTTAGGTAGATTTCGGTTTGTTTTTCGTAGTTGTTTTTCTTTTTGTAAAATGGAGGAACTGTGCACTGTGACTGTGAAAAAAGGATTTTCAAGTAGAAATTTTTGGACGTCACTAGCGAACGAACTGCAGATGCATTGTTTAAAATTGTTTGTGACATTATATCAAGTTTAGAATGTGGTTTTAAGCTTGTTGCCCAGAGCTACGATGGTGCTGCTGTAATGGCTGGCCATTTAGGAGGCCTTCAAGCTAAAGTGAAAGAGAAGTTTAAACATGCAATTTTCGTTCACTGTATAGTACATAGACTTAATTTGGTTTTATCGCGAAGCATGGATAATATTAAAGATTGCAAAGTTTTATTGTCGACGCTTATTGGTTTGGCTTCCTTCTTTTCAAAGTTATCGAAAAGAACTCGCGCTTTGGATATTCCTTATATTCATATTCAAAAAACGTTTCCAAAAGTTGCTCCGACGCGATGGAACTACAATGGACGTTTAGTGCAAACAGTCTTTCAATACCGTGATTCTTTGATACACTTTCTTCAAGACGTTCATTTCAATTTTTGCTCAACATTTTTGCAGAGATTTTCCCTTTTACTGACATTTTATTCGACATTTTACAGACAAAGTCAAATGACATTGGCTTTTGCATTAAACAAATTCATGATTTTAAAAATAAAATAAGTAAAAAACGAGATCAGTTTGAACACTTTTGGAATAAGACTCAAAACATTGGCTTAGAACCTGAAAGAAAGATAATTAGAATTGATAATGTCGGCGACAGAGAGACCTCCTATCGTCGATTGTACGCCGAAATTTTTGATAATATTTTACAACAAATGAACTCTCGATTTCAAAACTTTAACGAATTAAAATTTGTTGAATTGTGCAATTTTATTATTAGTAACTACGATTCATAAAAATGTCCATCTGAAGCTTTTAATTCACTAAAATTAAATTATGGAAGTTGTTTCGATATTCCAGCATTAAAGTCTCAGTTAAGTGTTGTTTATGAAACAGTTGAAATTAGTGATAAAGAGACGCCCATCAATGTGTTAAATTTTCTTATAACAACTGGTTTAAATAAGTCCCTTTGTGAAGTTGTCAAGTTGTGTGAATTAGTACTAACCATCCCAGCCACAAGTGCTTCAGTTGAGCGAAGTTTTTCAGCTTTAAAAGTTTTATACGAAATTCAACATATGAAGAAAGACTCTCTAATTTAGCCCTAATATCTATTGAAAAAAAGCTTGTTAAACAGTTATCAGAAAATCCAAAATTTTACGATGTTATGGACAAATTTGCAGCCATTGAGGATAGGCGAATAGATTTTAAGTATTATAAATAAATGTCAACTACTGTGTTTTTTTACGTTTAAATAAACCAAGGAAGCTTTTCAATGGCAAGTTTTTTTATAGCTTCTAGTACTAAACTAGGTAATAAAGTAATAGTAACACTTCAAAAATTTCAATCTCGAATATCCGTAGTACTAAGGAAAAAAAGGAAGATTTTGAGTAAATGGTGAATGCGCCGCGAAAAATTTTCACCTGCAGCGCTGTGCTTACTGGCCTGCTATATTTTTATACAATAATAATAATAATAATAATAATAATAATAATAATAATAATAATAATAATAATAATGTTTTTATTGGCTCAAATTATACATTTTTTTATAATTTTGGACAAAATAAAATTATAGCCAAAAGGCAGAGTTCAGTTTCTATTATGCCGGAGCAATACTAGAACATGTTCTTCCACTCAACCGGTAAAACTAAAACTAACTATAATATTTCAAAAAAAAGTCAAAATACCAAAAAGTACTTACAAAAATAAATAATATTAATAAACCGTAAGAAGGGTAACCTATTATAATATTAATTGACCGTAAAATAAATATTCTATTATATACCAGAAACAGCCAACACCCAATGCTTAAAAATTTTAAATTATTAACAACGAAGAGTGTACCATTCATTAAATCTCGTTTTACATAATTTTTTACCCTAATATTGTTTAAAGTGAGATAATGCATGGGAAACCTATTAAGAAGCCAAGATACGTAATAAGTGAAAGATCCCTGAAATAGATGAGTTTTGTGAAGTGGTGGTGTGAGTTTGGATTTAAACCGTATATTTATATTATGTACATAACATCGAAAAGATATTTTATTATATAAGTAAGGAGGTGTTGCAGAATTTAAAATATTTTGGAAGAGCGAGCATGCATGTAATGCTCGTCTCTCAGCCATATTAAGCCAGCCTAATTCTTCTAAATGAACGGAAACACGATCTCTTCTGTTCAAGCCACAAACAAAACGTACACATGAATTTTGAATTTTTTGCAACCTCTTTTTATCACTGTTTAATAAGGATGGTCCGTAAATTACGTCTCCGTAGTTTGCATGTGATAAAACCAGTGAGTCGCACAGCATTATATTAGTATTTTTATTAAGTAAACTCTTATTAGAGTATAATCATTTTAACCTGCAATAAGACCTTTTTGTAATGATTGATATATGGGATGAAAATCGTAGTGAGTTGTCTATATGTATACCTAGGTTTTTTTGCAGAGGAATGCAGCATTAAAAGATCTCCATTTAAGCTAATATTTACATTATTAAGGTTACGTTTTCTTGCAACGGGTCGGCCAAAAAGTTGAACTATTGATTTAGAGGGATTTATGCTGAGACAGTGCTAATCAGATAAATGAACGAGTGACAAAATGTCATCATTAATCTTATTATGAGCATCCTGAATAGTTTTCTCTTCAAAAGAGTAATAAAGCTGCGTATCATCTGCATAAGTGTGAATCTGACAGTTTTGAAGAGCAGAAGGTAACTGAGAAGCATACATGACAAATAAAAGTGGACCTAGTATTGACTCCTGGGGCACACCAGAATTAATAAAAGAAAAATCAGACAAGTTTTGTTTTATGACAGTTGCCTGGCATCGATTATTTAGATAACTTTTGAAGAAATTAATAGAATTATATGTAAATCCAAAAAAGTGCAAGAGAGCCAAAAGAAGTGAATGATTAATGAGGTCAAAAGCTTTCGAGTAATCAAGAAGAATTAAAATGGTCAACAGATTATTATCACATGCTCTGTGAATGTCATCAGTAACTTTAAGTAATGCTGTGGTACAGCTAAAGCCACTGCGAAAACCAGACTGACTCAGATCATAAGTGCATAAATATTTTCTAATTTGTTTGTCTAGAATTTTTTCAAATACTTTGGATATGCAACATAAAACGCTTATGGGTCGTAGAACAGAATATGACTCAGGAGTTGATTTCTTGGGAAGAGGAATAACATATGATTTCTTCCAAAGGTCAGGAAAACAAGCGTTTATTAGAATAAAATTAAATATGAGTTATGTAAGGGATAATTAAAGGACAACAATATAATATCTTGATATTAATTTTGTCCATACCCACGGCTTGTGTTTTTATTGATAACATTTGTTTGTAACATTCCTCATCGGATATATGACTAAATGAAAAATTTCCTTCGTTTAGAATTGTAGTGTTTTGATAAAATTGTAGTAGATCATTAGAATTAGTAATATTAATGAAGTATTTATTAATTTCTTGAACATTGCATAAATTCTCAGGTATATCTGTTACTGGTTTACTGTGTACAATCGCTTCCCCTTCCAAAAATATCACCGCACGCCACTGGGCTTATTTAAAGCTTCACAAGACCATTATAAGTTATTAATAAGTCGTCTTAAAGACGTCTTATTTATGGCTTATTTTAAGCTCTACAGACCAATATAAGCCATTAATAAGACGTCCCCTTTTGTAACATCAGACGTCTTCTAAAACATCTTTCAGGAAATACTAGACGTCTTAAAGACGTCTCGTATGTCTTATGCTAGACGTCTTTAAGACGACTTTGTGCTATCTGGGTCGTTGTAGAGTTATCCGGTCAAAAAGAGCAAAATATCTGACGCAAAAATGTTTTTTTCCAAAATTACACTTTCAAGAGCTGATATATCGAAAACTATACAAGATATTGAAAAACTTGATTTAATAAAACTTCTAGCAAAATTAAAAAGCTTTTATTTTATATTGAATGGCCATGTCGCTAGGACGCATAGTTTCCAAGATATAAGTGAAAAACTGAAAAATGGGACCTTCAGACCTCCCCCGGCTCAAAGGCTACGGGTGAGGACTTTTGATATGTTCACCTCTTAACTAGTCCAAATAAAGTTACGAAGTCAAAAATTGTGTTCCATACGTTTTCTGGATTAAAAGGAAATGAAGACGAAATTTGAATAATTAATGTTCAGCATCTTATCTACTTTTACCTATATTGAAAATATTGGAAAAACATTTTTGTTTCCTTAGGGAAATAAAATACTAAGTACAATGGTATCTTTATATTTATTGCAGCTAAAAAATACAAATACAAAATTAAAATTATCAGTCATAAAAGTCTTAATAATCTATAAAATTTAAAATAAATTTTTGAAACAATAAAAAATAAAAATAAAATTTTTATTTTAAACAAGAATGGAAGCACACAATCCTTTCAAAAGTATAATTGCTTTGTGTATATGTATACCATAATAATGTCATAGAAATAACAAAATTATATATTTATTATATTTTTTAAATCCAAAATTGATAGATTCAGTTAAAAATTAAAATAACATACACAGATTGAAAATTTCATAATTTTTAATTTCGAGATTTCATTTTCCCTATTTTTGGATATCGCACAACACCACGTGATATTACCGGCAGAATGTTTTATAAACAGTTTCGTTTTTAGCAATCAAAATATTTAATGGATAAAATTAATATTTAAATCATTATGAAACACTAAGTTAATCTAGTTCAACTATCACTGCCATCTCTTGGAACCAATTGAAAATTGAACGTTCCCATATCCCTGTCGATTTTTGTCAATATTATTTCAAACATTCTGAAGTTTAAACAAACACTAATCGGAAATTATAAGTTGATGCCTTTCCTTAATATGGGTCACCTAAATCAGTGACTTTACAAAGAACATGAGTTGCAAAATATTTGAAATCAAGCACTTTTATTTAATTTTGAAATTTTTTAGATCAGTTAGGTATATAAGAACCCGTGAGTTCAAGCTGTTAATACTTTTATTTTAACTAGCTGGTCCTAATTAAACAGGTAATTCTAGGGTAAGTGCACTTGCTGTTCTTAATCATGTTCTAAACAACTAGTACACATTGCCTTGTTGTTTTGAATTCTGCTTACAAAGAGGTAGACGCTCTTAAATATTTTCAACTCTCGCTCTTTTTAATCATGATGTACTGTTTTTAATTATTTTAAAAACATCTGCACTAACCAATCTAAATCTCTTTAAAAAATCATAAATCACTGCCTTCTCAAACTCGAATATTTTGGGACTTATGACCTGTGTAAAACAACCAATTTAACTTAAAAAATACATCCTTTACAAATCACGAAAAAAAAAAACATAGTCGTAGATTGTTTTCTTTTTAATTTGAATCTAATTTCAAATTATTTAATCAAAAATGAGTAGCGGCATCAAAAACGTGAATTTCCTGCATGGGTACGTCCATAAGAGTGAAAGAGATGAATGGAAAATGAACGTTTGATGCCAAAACATTAACCGTTACTTTTGCCCTTTTGTATAAAACTACTAGTAAATTCTTACCTCTCTGAACACAATTTATAAAAACAATTTACTCTTACACTTTTAAAATACTTTACAGTTGGGTAATATTCTCTTCATCCGTCGTTTTCTTTGATCTAACAGAGCTGGATCTGCTGTTTTCGACGGTGTCGATGAAAGATGTTAACATACCTTCGACTTCCGACATGGCAAACTTCAAATGCGTATTGTCAATGTGGCTCAAAGAATCTTCCAAACCGATGTTGTTGGCCAAAATCTGTTGTAACTGAGCTAAAGCTTCGTCGAGCTCATTGTGGAACACTTTGGAAGTTGCTTTGGCTCGTGTCGCTAGGTCCGTACTGGTGGCGTTTGAAGAGGTTGTTGAATTTGTTGGGTAACCTGCGACAAGGATTTTTTTTAATAAAATTAAGGTATTCTTGTGGTGTTTTTTTATAAAGTGACATTGTTAACTTGAGTTCAACTTTAATTGTTTTTGTTTAGTTTTGACAGCTATATTCGAACAGCCTGTTGCAAATTCGGTCGCGCGTCGAATTATAATGAAATTCCTCTGTAATGAAAATGTTAAACCTCTTGAAATTGTTAGATAGTTTTGGGAAAATACCCAACACATGTATAAGATTGATGTAAATAATTCCGTAGAGACATAGAAGACGTCATAAAACATCCGAGCTTAGCCATAATATATTTCCATTTGTTTGGAGCTTTGAGAGAAGCTAAAGAAGGCATCATATTTGAGGATGCTAAAGATGTTAAGCAAGCTGGTAGACACATTCTATAAACAAATAATTATGAAGGTGCAAGAAAATGGAAGAAGTGTATACAGCAGCAGCTGCAGAGAGTGTCTTTTTTGCTTTAGCCGACTTTCTTTACAATTAAATTTGAAAAAGAGTAGGCACGTGGTAAAGCAGAGAGTTACGGATGCAGAGAAGTAGAGAGGACGAGAAGTAGAGAGACAGAGAGGTAGACAGGCAGAGTAAGAGTATCAAAATGAGTGGTGGTATTTGAATTAAAATAATTTCGATAGCAGCTAAAGTCATAGAAGGGGTGCCGATAGAAAGTGATGCTGATAGAAGAAAAAATATGGTTCAAAGTTTCTAACAAAAAAGAAATGGGAAATTTAATTATATATAAAAACGACGCTCCTCCCTAAACCAAACGACTTCCTAAGCAACGATTTGAAAAAAATACCTCCTATCCAAGTGCTGATATCGTCTATATTATATGAAACTGTTCCATTTTCTTCCATGAAAATCCCACTTGTGCCGCTGGTTTCCTGGTCTTCAGACTCTTTGCCATATTTGTCGTCGAAATCAAATTCAAGTTCACCAGACGATATAATTGGACTTAGCATGTCCAGACTTTTAGTTTCACTTCTGTTAGTCTTGTAATTATTTGTCGTTAGCGGTGTTGATTCCATTAGCCGTTTCCTGGAAGATTTTCTGACTTCAGCGTGGGGTGACTGATAATTAGATGAAATACAATCCTAAAATATAACAAATTGTACCTCTGCATTTACATAAAAATAATCCACATACTTTTAATAGCTTCAATCTATCAACTTGAGCAGCTATGTGTCCTCGGTGCTCTTCCAAATACCTTAAAATATCCTTTTCTTTTAAATTTGCCGAAACCAAAAACTGATGTAGTTCTTTGGTTTGCATTTCCAGCTTTTTTATCACGAGCCTTAGTTGAGTCTTAGGCGAAGACATGGGTTTTATATCATTCGATTCCTTACCATTACTAAATACCACACAATGTTTATCAATTCTAAAAAAAAATAGAATAGTTATGTAGTATATAGGCTAACGGGGAAGGAGAGTGGCGAAACATCCCTATTTTGACTTTTACTTTTTTTATAACTCGAAACCGATGTCTTTTTTCTAAATGAAAGCCAATAAAATTTCCTGCCAGATTAGTACTTTTAATTTTGTTACTATTCCTGATATCTGCTAGGAAAAATTGCAAATTTACTTTTATGGCAAACTTTAATGAAAGAATTTATAGAGAAGTAAATTTCCTTAATAATGAAATTTGTTGTAATTTCAATTGATACGAAGTTATAGCAATTTGAACATTTATAGTAAATTTTGAACTTTTAAAAGAAAACTACACTGCGCTTTTTTTTTCTATAGTTATATCATTTTATACTAGTAGGTTGTAATTCACATTTTAATACATTTTTATTATATTTAGACATAGTTTTCATCTTTCATTTATTGTGTAATATATTATTCAAACAAGAAATTTTGAAGTTACTTTTCTCGGTGTAGATTTAAGCGGAAAATATTTCAACTATCAATAAAAATCTGACTACTCCAACATCAAAGGAGCCGACTCAAGCTGTCGTTACTGTATTATTAAAATTATACTGGGGTATAGTTGTTATAAAATACAAAAAAACTCACTGAAATTGTTTTGTATCCACTATCACAGAGTCGTCTTTCTCATTCTTGCAATGTAAGACACCGACGATCTTTTTTAGCATCTTTATAGTAATGTGGGTGTTGTCCAGTGAAGTGCAATATTCCCGTACAGCATGAGAAAGTCTGTGAGAGTTGTTTATCTTTCCTGTGAAGAAACACCTCTGGCATTGCGTGTAACGTATACATTTTGTACATTTGTAGCACAATCCCATTATCGGAGTAGTTTTGCAGGATTTACATTTTACCATATGAATAACTGAAAGATTGGTAAGAGTAAAGAAATCTTTAAGAACAAAAAACAAAACCACTAACTATAATTTCTGCCAAATCATTTTTAAATTTGTCGTTAACCGGACCTTTATATTTATCATATTTGTTGCTAGACGTGTATGTTTCTGCATTAATGAATACAGTTCATCAAATTTCTAGAGGCTTTCGACGGCTAGACAGAGAAAGCACTACTGACAGGCATCCCGACGGATTTACGCAATGAAAGTACACTCTGCGCATCAAGTATTTCACTATTTCATTCAGACGTAAATGTCAGATGTAAATTTCGCTAAAACATTTCTTTTATTTTCGTTTGTGTTTTTTGCTCATTACAGTTTAATAGAACCTAAGTATGGAGTTTAATAGCAAATTAAGAGGCCGCGTGATTAACAGTCAATCTCGCGAAATAATAGCCAATGTTAGTAGAGTTTATGAGAAGAGAAGGAAACTTTAATTCACCTTCAATACCATTTAAAAATGTAAATGATCGTGTTGCGGCAGCCACAGGAGTATCTAAAAACACTGTCGTCCGCATTTCTGGAGTGAAAAAAAGAATCGATAACCGTGAGATATCGGAATTTTCATCACCAAGAAAAACCATTAAAAAACCAAAAACAGTTAATGATATAGATGAAGCTGCACAAGAATCAAATTTTATTTTTTTATTATTAGATAGCTATTTTTGTTTCTGAGTTGTGTTCATTTACAGGCTCAATTTTTTTCCGTTTCTCCTTTTTGATTTTATATGGGGTTTCAAGTTGTTTTTGACTTATTTCGACGTAAATCACAACAACACACTTTTTTAATAAAGCAAACAAGTGTTAAGAGGTATATGTACGTGTAAACTACAATTACAAAAAATTGATATGAAACCCATGAAACCACCAACAAAAATGTAAAGCTAGCTTCCGTACTAGAACATGGTGTCATTCGTCGAGATAATTTATCGTTTTGTTTAATAGATCAAGTAATGTAAATATTCCCCTGTTATTTTTTATAAAATTATAAGAGAAATAAATTTTTTTCTAAATAGTATAGTTTATTATTTTGTAGAAAAACAAAATTTCGAAAATTTTAGTAATGTTTCAGAAACAACCGTTATTAATAATAGGTACCATTTTCCTTAATAAAGTAGAAATAAAATACAAACTATTTCCACGATTTACAAAGGCCTACAAAAAAATTATAGGTATTTTCCGCTATCCTATAAAATTTATATTTTCTGACTCAATTTCAAAAGGTTGAAGGAATTCCAAAACACCTTTTATGGCATAATAATTATTTTCAATTCTACATACTATCTTTAGCTGCTTTTAAAAACGTTCTAAGAAAGTCCAATCAGACCAATTTAATCCCTAAACTATTCCACACTTTTAAAATTTAATTACCTAAAAATATTAAAAACTATTTAAAATAACTTGTTTAGCAGACTGTACAATAGCTATCTTAGTCACACGTAGCGCGTTCTCTGTGTGGGCGTCGAACACCTCTAGAAATTTGATGAACTGTACTACATTTTTATTTTTACTTTTTAGATAATATGGGTTTATCATAAAGTAAGGGATACTTTAACTTATTATAACTTTTTAACAAATCAAGCTAATTTTATTGTGTCTACGGAAAATAAAAGCGTTGTCATGACTAGTCCTAGGAATATATGCACCCAAAAAGTAGTTAAATATGCGCATATATATGCCGCAAAATGCTTCAATATATGCGTAAAAAATTGAAAAATATGCAGAGCATATGCAATAAGAGTAATTTGTTATTTGATCGAAATAGTTTATTAATATTTATTATTTGTTTTATTTTACAATACCTAATATAATACTTAATAATTATTTAATTATTAACTAATTTTATTTATAAATCAACATTATTATAAAACGAATGAACAATTAGATGTTTTTCTAAATTATCTGTATTAAATGATTGTCTCCTATCAGTAAGTAGGTATGTACTTGTACAAAGAAAAACTCCTTTCGACATCTACAGAATAGGTGCAAACTTAAATTTTCCTGAAATATCTGGATAAATAGAATTATTATCTTCAAAGTTACCAGAATAAATATTAGCAAGGTTTCTTAAAACAATAAATCCTTCATTTTTTAAAATTACATTTGAAAATTTATGAACAATCGTCTTTCCAATATCGCCCTGGACATTTTTACACTCTGATTCCAACGTCTTAATTAAATTTACGGAAGTCACCAAAGGTAAATTTTTTTTGTTCCAAATCTAATATAATTTTGGGTACAAATGCATAATTTTTTAAAAACAATAATTGCTTTGGTAATATGTGATTTTGAAACAACTTCTTTGTATTAGATATTCCCTTAGATGAATCATCAAAATCAAATATGATTTCTTTAATTTTTTCATAATTATCTGCGTAAAAAAGGGCAACTTTAAGCCAGGTACCCCACCGAGTAATCACAGGTGCCGGTGGCATCTGTAATTCAGGAAATTTTGTAGAATTGAGTTCTTAGAGGAGCTTTAAGAAATATTTTTTTTACATTACTAATTAAATCATTTATTAAAGGAAAGTTAGACCTAATTTATTCTGCAACTCTGTTAAGGCCATGAGCCAAACATGTAAGTAACATGGATTAAGTTTTCATAAAACATTTTTAAATTTTGTGCGGCTTTCACCATGTACGGGGCAGCATCTGATAACAGCAATAAACATTTTTCTGTTGGAACGGCTTCCGGAAGAAAAAAAGGAAGAAAAAAAGGAAGATAATTCTGTCTGGATAAAACGAGTTATTGTCAAGTTATTTGTTTTATCTAATTGCTTTGAAGCGATTAGATATGGACCAATTTGCATTTCTTCGCGCAATGAACCTATCATTAAATGGGCTATATATCGACCACAAGAGTCTGTTGTTTCATCCACAATAATGTAGAAATGGTTTCCAACGGTAATCTCACGAATTTTTTCACGAGTCTCAATGTACAAACTGTCAACACCACGTTTGCGTAATATACTTTGCTCTGGAATATTAAATTTACACTATTTTTGCAAAAATGATCGGAGATTTGGATTATTTAATCGTATTAAAGGGATATTCGAAGTCACTAAAGCTTTGCATAAATCTTCATTAAAAATAGCTTGTTCACTTCTAGACGATCCAGATTCTAAATATTGTTTCAAGGGAAGTTGACTTTGTCTGCGAGTGTCTTTAGATTTTTGCTTTGCTATATGTGAGGGTGTTTTCGCTTGTTGGTCGATTTGAAACTTTTTTTTTACATGGAATCTAAAACAAATAAATTCCTGTAGATGTTGAAGTTTTAATTAAATTAAATAAATGCGTACGTTGTAAAGTAGCCCTACTTTTTTTAACTGTGAGTTGAAATAATATTTTACTGTCGTTTGATTTACCATTGTGAAAGGTCCAAATAAAATATAAAATAAAAAAGTACAATTTTAGAACATGCTTTACAAAACACCTGGTTATCACCTTCTACAACAAAATCTGAATAAGATTTTACCCACGACTCAATTAATTTTGCCATTTTTTCCCACTGGTTAACACAACACAACAATAAAGACTGAAATGAAGTTGAAAGTAAACTGAGTCATTTAGAAATTTGAAGATATTAATACAACTACCTGAAAGGATATCTATCAAAATTTGTTGGTTTAAGGAGGGTGTTTATAATTTAATCCTCTCAAGTACCTACACCATTAACCGTAATTTATTACAGGGAAAAGTTAATCCTTAAAAATTTTAGGAAATCGACCTGTTAAGGCATTTCACAAAATATTATTTTGGTCCAAAACTCATAATTTTAATATGTCCAGCCAATTAGTACGTCAGATATATGCCAAAAAATTAACAAAATGTCAATATATGCAGTCAAAATCAAAAATTGTATATATATGCAACATATGCAAAATATGCATATACATTTACAATTTCAAAACTTTCTAAATTTCTCAATTATTCTGACGATTAGACAACACAGCAAGGCCGTGACGTCATAAATGATCTTTGACGTGCATCGGGATTTGTATTAAAAATACTATATATAGATAATATTTTATAACAATTTTTATAAATGTTACTAAATATTCGCCAAATTGTTTTGCATTGTTGTTTTTTTGTATATAATATTGAAATTATTTAATTATGACAAGAACGAACAAATTAAAAAATGGAAGAAGACCAAACAATTTAACAGAACTATTTTTATAAGTAACAATTTTGTAAAATAATGCAGCAACCTACACGTCTGGCAATTTTTTCCAGTATCTATATAATCACCTTAAAATAATATCTAAATGACAGGTACCAGCCTATAATTTAGAAGTTTTTTAGGATATGGTAATTTTTTTAAACCGCGACACCTAACTTTTTCACCTAGATTAACATATTCTTGAGTATCAAAACATTATTCATTCCTAACGATGAGCAAATCATATGCTAGCTAATACAACGGAATAAGAATGAAATTGGGGCATGTTCAAAAATTTTGAAATTTTTTTTATGAATAATAGAGTTGAAAATAAAATTACATTTTTTTTATTTTTTTTTTATCTATTCATTTGCCGGAGTTATGAATTTTTTTAAAATTTATGACGTCACCGGGAATAGACCAATAGGAGCTAGCGCACAACGTTGCCGGCTAGAAGGTTTACGAGAAGTGATGTACGTTCGTTTGTGTACTCCTTCTTACTTTTAGACTTCTAAAACATCGTTAAACAAATATCTTTTAAATATATAATATCAAATGTTTTTTTAAAGTATTATTTCTGTTTAAACTTTTACCATATTTAAAGTTTCATTGTTTTAAAAGTCACTTAATAATTCAGAAAATGGCAAAATGGCAGCACTGTGTATGGCATCTGTCATCATAGTGTCTCCATCAAGAATTTATTTGGAATTTGATTGTTTAATTTTGTACTTTTTATAAATATTATGACTACGAAAAAGTGTTTTGTTCCAGAATGTGATAATGATTCACATTCATCTTCAAAAATAT